ACAAATGCGCTTTACACAATTGATGTGTGTGTGTATGGATTGGGATAACAGTTGTATGAGCCCCTAATAAAATGTTAAAAAAGAAAAAAAGAAAAAAAAAAAGAGTATGGTACTTTCCCCAAGATATGAACTAAGTATTGCCAGCTCAGGATGTAGCTGAAGAGAGGTATCAAAGTAAAATAGGAGCAAGTAAACAATGACATGAAATGTGGAAAAAATGAAAGTGAAAAAGTATCCACGGCTGGGAACACAGTAGCATTTGTTTCTGGGGTCACTTAGTGATAGGTGGGTTTCTCCTCTTGCTTTGCTTATTCAGGGAAGAGAGAGGCATGTCAGTGGGGCCAGAGAGGCCCTCTTTAGCCACAAGCACTTAAAAAAAAATTGAATGTACTTACTACACTAGCTTATTGAGCTTTTACATATGACCTTGGTTCCACACATGTAGGCTGTACATTACAGATAGATTTGAAACATAAAAGAAAAACACTGAAGGAAGTTAGGAGTTTTACCACAGATATTGGCAGCATGCTGCAGATAAAGATGACAAACACTACACAGATGCTGTAGACACCAAAAATTATAAACTTACACATATTCTGTAGAGTGAGTCAATTCCAGATCACCATGAAAATGGATAATTTGGACAATATGAAACTATCATATATACTTGTGTATATGCTGAGTCTTCCAGCATTTTAAAAAATGTAATCATTTTATTGGGGGCTTATACAACTCTTACCAAAATCCATACATCCATCTATTGTCAGCACATTTTTTAACGCAGTTTTTGTGGTAAAATTAGGGGCCTTGGCTGATATTCTAGTTGGCTTATACTCGAGTATACACAGTTGTTAATATCAACCATAATATATTTTCTAAGCATTAGAGTTGGGGAGAGGGCAGTTTTTCAAGTTACCTTCTCTTACACTAAAAGGCATGGTGACAACACCATAAGCACTTGGTACACCATATAAACAGCAGATGAAATCAGAGAGATAGTCTAACACACTTAGATCATGCTCCACCACAATGATATACCTGAAAATCAAGAGAGAATTTTACATTTTAAAATGTGACATATATGTAATAACTAATACTTTTTATTTCTTCCTACTAAAGTTAAAATTCCAGAAAAGCAATAAACACATAAAGAATAAAGACCACAGTAAACAAAAGCCATAAAACATTTTCTTTGAATATGACATAGTTCAAGTAATTGTTTTCTAAATTGGGGTGGTGTGCTGTTTAAAACAATTTATAAATATATGAAATAATTTTAATGTAAAAACATTAAACTTGATTCAATTCAGACGTAGCCAACTGAGGTATTAACCTTTTTAAAGTCCTCTCCACATGCCAAAAGGTACATTTTTTGGTTTTAACTCTCCTTTTTGTTAGGAAAGTCATCAGTTTTTGGAGCATTCTATATTTATGATAATCCAATACAAGGTCTTACTTCTTGTTCAAGTGTTAAAGACTCATTAGATAGCCAATAGATAGACTAGTAAAACTCAATGGAGTAACAATTCCTTCTTTGATCCCTTGTTTTCTTATAAGAACAGCCTAATTCTAAAAAGGCGTTTCTCACATTTCCATGGAAATCGACTGAGTAATGGACAGTGGTTGGATTTACATAACAAAGGCTATTAAATTTTTTCTTTTCCTTGGCAAGATTATAAAAAAATGGAATTAACTCTGCATATCTTACATATAATGGTCTAAATTAGTTTTACTTTTCTTTTTTTTAGGAGGTCTCATATATGCACTTGAAAATCTGCTAAGAATCTGCTGGAAAGCCACATATAGCAAACAAAATTTTGTGGACAAATAAAATTAAAGAAGAATGGATCTTTTCCATGGTTTTTTTGAAGCCTTCTCACAATGCTGAAGTTTGCAGTTTCATAATATATTCCTAGGCTTCCTGGAAAAGAATGGTAAATAAAACTTGCCTTAAAACCCTGTCTAGAATAGAGGAAGATACATTTTAGATGGTATAGAAATGCTGATTCCAGTGTTTAATCTTCACTGATCTGTAAATCTCCCCAAACAAAACAGCACAGGCATATCTCAGATCAGTACTTACCTATCTGGATTTATGAGAGATCGTATAGTAATAGCAGCCTTTAAGCGCTGCTTGACATCTAGGTAACTAGAAGGTTCATCGAACATGAAACTATATTAAAGAAGAAAAAAATATAACAAATTGAACTATAAATATTACTCGTCTATTTTATCTATTTTTTTAAAGGGCTCTAGTAGTCTCTGGTTAAACACAACTGCCCCACCCCCAATATAAAAATGAAGTTTACCCTGTAATCATAAAAACATTTCTATCAGTCAGAAGTGGAAAAGAGACAAATGAAAAGCATACTAAGCCTGAGGAGTACCTCTAAAATTAGGTCATATTTCAAATTGGCAGCTTTCTTAAGAAACATTCTGATTCAGTATGATGTTAAGAGACCTTTTTGTTTTAATGAGCAAGTCAATAGCATTAAATCATTAGCATTTTAAAGGAGGCCATGGCATAAAACTCATACATTTGGTAGTGTTGAACTAGTCTGGTACTGGATGCTCAAGCATAAATGTGGAAAAAAAACGGAAGCAACACATATCTGGGAGAAGGCACTAGAAGGTCAATAATAGTTTTTTTGACTTCTCTTTTCTTTCTCACATGACACATTACCCTGATAGAGGGCTTAAGACTTCCTGTTCTACTTAAGACATTTTAAATATCTTCCAGGCCAGGGGAAGAACTAAAGTTGGTACTAAAGTGAGTTTAAATTTTAAACAATTGACTTTGCAAACCAAAGGCTTTGAAAACCATTCCCGTTGTAAATTACTTATCCAGAAAGAAGGCTCTTTTTTCTATCCCCTGCAGGAATAACATCAGCTAGAGCAGCAGTTCTCAACCTGTGGCTCTCGACCCCCGTCGGGGGCGAATGACAGTAGCAAAATTACAGTTATGAAGTAACAACAAAAATAATTTTATGGTTGGGGGAGTCACCACAACATGAAGAACTGTGTTAAAGGGTTAAGACATTAGGAAGGTTGAGAACCATTGAGCCTGAAATGAGGTAAGATGCCTTAGATACTATACTATTACTATTAACTGCTATCAAAATCATGCTATCTTAGCAAAATTACAAAAACTCTAAGGATTAATATAGACAAAAGAGGTAAACATAACCTACATGTCAGCTTTCTGTATGCAAACAACAGCACAAGCAAATCTCTGCAATTCTCCTCCCGAAAGATCTTCAACATTTCGGTCTTTTAGATGGGTTAAATCTACAAAGAACATAGAGGAACCGTGTTCAATCTTACAAGTATTATTTTACCTCTTCTAGAAAAAATTTATTCTGTATGTTACTTCATATCATTCATTGGTTTGAATATTTTTGTTTGAGTAATTCAACTGAAAATCATGTAGCACAAAAAGTAGATATGACAATTACTAGGTAACTTCCCACTTATGTTAGCAATTCATATAATGGCAAAGCCCAAAACTGATTAAAGCATATACACAAAAGACTTACCAAGCTGTTGACATACAATTGCCTGTGTCTTTGTTTCGTCCTTTCGGTCCAAAATAGATCCTACTGTGCCCTGTTAGGAAATATTGGAAATAGTTACTAATTTCCTCAATATTGAAAAAAGTTACAAAATAAGTTTACTTTGTTATTCTTTTTTCTTCCGATATCAATAACTGTAACACAAAAATTCTACCTAAATAGGAAACTGACCTTTGCAGCCTTGGGAATCTGGTCCACATATTGAGGTTTAATAATGGCTTTTAGATCATCTTCTAGAATCTTGGTAAAGTAATTTTGCAATTCCGATCCTCGAAAGTAAGTCAAAATTTCTTGCCAATCAGGTGGATCCTACAAAAAGAGCCTATGATTACATAAATTTAATAACAGATAATCACAAAAGTAGAACAAAGCAAAGTATGATACCAACAATTACTTTCTCACTAAGGAGAGTCTTAATAGCCAAATCTTTCATAAACACAAGACGCATATTCAAATAGAGTACTTTTAAATTGGAGGTGGATTTCATTTTAAATCAAGGTTTATCAGTTAAGGAAATGTATAATGAAAAGTTATGTACCATGAATTGATTTTAATTAAAAAGGAATTGCTTGATTTATATATATTATTTCAGCATCAATCCCATAGATCTTAAAAATTTAAGAACATTAAAAAAAATATATACATCCCCTAGTCTCATAAAATAAATTCAAAATACTCATTTTCATAAGGTAGCATACATACGTCATACTTTCCAAGGTTTGGTTTTTGCTTTCCTGCTAAAATTTTTAAAGCAGTTGACTTTCCAATACCATTAGTTCCAACTAACCCCAAAACTTCGCCTGGACGAGGAATAGGCAACCTGTTAGAAGTATACGAAAATAATTCAGACTTAGGTAGAAATCGTTAATCATATAAGAATGGTATATTGTAATGCATTTGCACTGCACAAACATTCAACAATAAGCTAAGAGATATTGGCCAGACATTATTGGCTATTAGGAAGCAACAGCCAGGATTAATTTTAAACTGTCAATTGTTAGGAATGCATCCATGACCAATCTTACTCCAAATTTATTCAGCTTCCATTTAATGTCCATTCTAAAATATGTTTTTTACATATAAGGCTCAGTTTTAATGTATAACAAAAGCTTTGGTAGAAAATTATACAGGACGTGCAACCTCCCACTATCTTTTCTTTTCCTGGCCTGCCATTTACTTACAAGGAGAAAAGTACCTCACCAACCAGAAATACTCCACTTCTTTCTCCCTGCTGCAGTAGGCTCCTTAAAAGCTGGCAGGTTGAGAAATTCCTTTTTACTAGTTAAAACTAGACTCTCAGAACCAAATATTAGTGTTTAGCAGTTAAAAATATCTAATAATTAAAGGATCTGCTTGTCACTTAATATTACATTATCGCATCTCAACTCTGGTTGTACATTAGAATCAACTGGCAGCTTCTGAAATACAATGATCCAAATACTATAATTCAGATATTTGTATATAACTCATCCGGGATAAACCCATGCATTTTAAAAGGCAATTCTAATGTTAGCCAGAGGGAAACACTGACATATACAATAGGATTCTGCATGATGCTATATTATACTATTTCATGGATGTTTAATATATTTTCCCCATTTCTCTGAAAATTCTAAATGCATTTTACACTTAACATTGACTGAAGTAAAGCAGAGTGTGGGTTCGAGAATATACCTGTGAAGTTTGAAGGCATTGGCACAATATCGATGTGTTGTTTCTTTTTCCAAGTTGCTTGGTAAATTGACAATTGATAAGGCGCCAAAGGGGCATTTCTGTTATTTAAAGAATTAACTTTATTAATTTGTAGAAATATACACGACTAAATGAAGTTTTAATTTTTTAATAAGAAATCTTCTATATATGAGCATTTCACAAAGATGTGAGATATTAAAAACTGTTCCTTAAAGGTAGAAATCCAATTGCTTGATTTTATGTTCCACTTAGTGACTGGCATAATCCTAGGCATCTGCTGAAAAACATTACAGACACTTGAGGTTTTAAAAAGGCAGACTAAACAAAGGTGGCTAACAAGGTCAGCAGTTCAAAACCACCAGCCACTCCATGCAAGGCAAAGCTTTCTACTCCCGTCAAAAAGAACTGTCTCAGAAACCAATAGGGGCAGCTCTACCGTGTCCCATAGGGTTACTATGAGTTAGAATTGATTGGATGGCAGTTGAGTTTGGTTTGGTTTTGGAAGAGGCAAGATGAAATGGCCAGAGTATACGATTCCATATGCAACCTATGACACATTTTTCCTTTACGTCTTCAATTATCCCTCTCCTTGTATGTTTCCTTGTCTATATATATGGTGAGATCCTGTAGGGCCCTGGGTTGCATCTTTTTTGGCTATTTAGATCCCACCAACGGCTTGCATTAATACTGTGTGAGCGCAAAACTCAACATCTTATTATCTCATGTGAAAATAGTGCTTCAGTTTTTTAAAAACAAGCAACTCAGTGATGGAAGAGCATATTTGACTATGACATAAATGCCCAAGAATCAAAAACAGGAAAGTTACTTAAGAGAGGTAATACAGTCAAGTGCTCAGCTCCTAAACAAAGATCAGATTCCAAACCTACCAGTCACTCAACAGGATAAAGTTGTGGCAGTTTACGCCTGTAAAAATTAGTCTTGGAAACCCTATAGGGTAGTTCTACTCTTTCCTTCAGGGCCACAAGTTGGAATCTACTTAATGGCACACAAGGTGGCTAGAAAAAAATTATCTAAAGTACAGATGTCCATAGAGGTACATGCAAAGGCTTAACTTTAAACTACAGGTTTGCTTAGATTAATTAGTGTCTTTTTAGCAACTTAAGTGTATACTTGGAAAAGCACTGAAATTTCATTTTTCCTGTATCAGCAAGGAAAGGAAATAGATTTTTCAAAATCATTCCCACCACCACAAACTCAGTAAGTTTGAGTCGATTCAGGCTTCAAATCTTTAGGGAACAGGCACCTTTATCTTTCTCCAGGGATTGACTGGTGGATTCAGGCCACTGACCTTGCTTTTACCAGTTCAATGTGTGAGCCCATTACGCCAGCAGGGCTCCTTTCCCACCATCTACGACATCTAATTCAAAAACAAAACAAATGATATTTATCCTAATTCTTAAGTGCTTTCACCGAATTGCCCATACTTCTATTGTTGGGTTAATTCATCTGTTTTCTGCTAAAATAAGTAGTTAATGTATCTCAGGATTTTTGCTGCACTAAGTCTTTCTGAAGACTTTTGGCTTCAGACTTATGAATGATACATTTCTACCTTTAGCTTTGCAAAGAAATGTAGGAGTCCGGGCATAAAGTTATTGACTTTGATATTTTGATTTTTATATAATAAATTATGAACAGGAACGTCATTGGAGTACAGCTATTACTGTTAATTGCTTGTCAAATTCTATGTTCCTGCTGCTGCTATTTTTCATACTGGTTTCTGGTTAATTATCCAGATAGATTTCAGAGATACCTGAAACTATTTCCTTTTTTGAAAATATAAGGAAACAGTCCTTCCAATAGATACTTAATACCTTTTATCAGACATCCCATGGAAAGGAGCCCTGGTGGTGTACTACAAAAGCAGTAATATTATATTATTGACACAAAAATACCATTTTTAAGATTTATAGTCTTCATTCTTTGCTTTACATTTTGTCTTTAAAAAGTTATTTTCAGTTATATTCACGTTACAAATTTGCTCTGATGAGGGTGGTAGATACACAATTTCATGTCAACTTGATAAATAAGTGTAGCAGTGGAGTTTAGCCTGTCAATCAGGTCACAGTCTGAGGACAACTCCTCGTGGGCATGGCCTTCTCATGAGGATCCTGGAAACTTCCTCTCTACCTTCATCTTCCGGTTGACAAGCTACAAGGAGACTTGCTGAAACCCCTAAGAGTCTCTCTCACTCTGCTTCACCTTCCTGTTGAAGAGCCACGCTCAGAGAGATGGAGGAGCCACGTGGAGCCCTGCAGCAGCGCTGAGATGCTTCCACTGTCACTGGATCCACAAGACTTTGCACCCTCTGGCCTGTGATATTCCTGTATTTCCATCACCACATGTGACTGCCTGAGTCTGAAGAAGGATCTATGGACTAGGATTAGATTTATGGGCTAATGTCGGACTTCGTTTGGACTGGGTGGTGATGTTTTAGCGGAGCTTTTGTAGTAAGCATTAGCATAGAGCAACTTGCTCTGAGTTAATGTACCCAGTGGCTTTGGCTGGGAAGGTTCTCTGTGGTCACAGTCAATTTGTTCAGAAAAGCAGTTTAACTCAAACCACGTTTTTTTGTGATGGCCTATTTAAGAGAATAGTGTGCAGCTGTGAAATTTCATTTCAAAAAAGGTGAAATATCAGTTGATGACAAACCTCATTCTTGACGTCTGTCAATTTTCCAAATAGACGAAAATAATGTCGACTCAGTGCATTTGGAGTTCGTTTCCCCAGGTCAGATTGTTAATCAAGCTTTCTACTTAGAGGTACTAAAAAGACTGCGTAACACTGTGTGACAAAAAAGGCCTGATTTCTGGCAGGCAGGAGACCAGTTATGCCACCACGACAAGGTACCTGCTCACATAGCCATCTCAGAGTGACAGTTTTGGACAAAAACAGCACGCCCCTCTTGCCCCACGCACCTGACCTCACTCCTTGCGACTTCTTTGTTTCTGTGAATGAAGGGACATAAAAGGACAGCAATTTGATGACCGACATAGAAAAGATAAAGAAAAAAATTGAGGGAGGTGCTTTCAGCCATCCAAATAGATGAGTTTGGAAAATGTTTCCAAGTATGGAATTGCAGATTTGACAAATGTATTAAGTGTAATGCAGAGTACTGTGAAGGTGATAAGATTGTTTTGTAAAAAAAATTTAAATTCATAGCTTTGGGGAAAAAAGAAAAAAAAATTCCATTTTTTTTGTGGGGGGAGCGGTACCCCCTCATAATTGCTCTTTGATATAAAGCACTTTCTTACACATATGATTGCCCTTGGTCAATGCAGAGTAACACAATGAGTAAAATAAAACATTATAACTTACCTTAATACAAATACCACAACCAATACAAAGAGTTTCAGAAATCCAGGCTATTTTGCTCTGGGGTGTAACCTCTATGCATAGTTTTCCTGGTAGAGAAAAAGATAAGAGTCAAGTCATTTTTTTAAATCTAGTTTTCTGAAAATTGTCATTTATACAATGTTGGTCCCAAATTCCACAGCAGCAGTTTCTCAAAAATAAAAAAAAAACCCATTTGCAATGTTGTCTTTTATCAAGGCTTTGTGTGAAATAGTATCTGAATCTAATTTGTTTTTACTTATTATGAATGAATTGCCTTATCAGGCAACAGTTAATTCTACTTTTTAAAAATTTACGTATTTGTTCGTCTATAAAGTTAACCAATGCTTAAAAAGTTATTTTTAAGCCAACTAACTTAGAGTCAATTAAAATGATTGTATTTTAATGAAAACACACCTTATACAATTTTTGCAAATAGTGCCAGCTCCTTTCATGTTATTTCCCTATGTGTGGATGGTATGTGTGTTAAGAAACATGATATACCTTAAAAATGAAACAAGTATTTTGTTTTCTGAAATAAAATAAAAAAGTTGCTATATCAGTGATACTAAAAAATGCATAAAGTAATTCATCAACTCTGAATTACTGAAAATGTATTTAATAAGGTAACCCAGGTAAACCTTATGGGTAGTAGTCATTCCTTACTAAGCTTTTCAATCTTTGCTTTTGAAGATGAGAAACTATCAAAGACAGGCAGTCCTTTGTAGAATAATAAGAATTTCAGTAATCAAAACCCAGGTTTGATGTCCCATTCAGTTAACTTTTAAATAGCTAGTAATACATTATTTTATGATTTTTCTAAGGAAAAAAAAAAGGTTAATTTAATCACAAACCAATAAAGGATTATTATATTTTAAATAAATGAAGGAAAACAAAGCCCATGCCAAAGTCCACACAAAAGCATCAAGACAACTGCTTTTAAATAACCCATGAAACAGCTTACCCATTCGAACTACAGGGCAACTCTTTTTGCACTCCTGTCGACATTTCTTAGGCTTACACTTGTCATGGTTGACAATAGCAATTCTTGTCAATTTGTCTGCCATAATTGCAAGAAAGTTGGAATAGCCAGGACTTCTGTTACAAGAAAAATAAGCAAAATTACAATGCATTCAATATAGTTAAGAGAAATTGTCATAAGCATAAAGTTGGATACCCCTCCCCACCAAAACCAAACCCATTGCCACTGAGTCAATTTTGATTCATGATTTGAGTGTTTTTAAGACTAACTCTTTCTGGGAGCAGACAACTTCATCTTCCTCCTGAGGGGTGTGTAGTGGGTTTGAACTACTGACCTTGTGGTTAGTAGCCCAATACTCATCCCACAATGCCATCTAGAATCTTTGTTAGATTGGATGACATAAATTATCCTTACATGCAAGTGACATAATTATCAAGAAAACATTAAGATTTATATAAGAAAAAAGCAACATAATGGTAAAAAAAAGTGATCATCTAGGAATAAGTTTACCAAAATGGTAATAAACCATAAGGAAACCACCAAAACAGCTTTGGCATTACAAACCTGACTGAATTGAATGGTATGCTCTCATTTCTTATGATAATCGGCACCAGAATTTCAACTTTTTCTGAGATATATATATAAAATTCACTCTCAAGGAAAAAAACAGGCCAGCCAAACCAAATCTAAAACTTCTAAGGAAATGCAAAAGATTAGCAAGGGAAACTGAAAAGAACAAAGAACCTCTACCTAACAGACACCGTAATTAAAATGTGATACCAATGTATGAATGAAGACCAATAAAACAGAAAGCCAGACATGAAAATTAATGCATATGATCAAGTATTTACCTTTCCAAATACCTTGATGTCTTCTCCACTCAATTATACCATCCAATTAAAATGGCAATTACTAAAGTTTAAAGTATCGTACAACTGGAAAATGTAAAAACTTCATTTCTCTGGGAACTTGTGAAATTATAAAAGTGGACTTTATGTTAGTAGCACTAGAGTTAAAGAGGACACCATGTATATGTATAGCCTGTGCTCACCTTTAAGGCTTTTCTCTGTCTTGCTAGTGAAGAGTATATTCAACTGCACAGCATTAAGATAACTGTAGGGAACCGATCACAAGGATCTACATATAACCTCCTCCCTGGGGGACGGACAACACAAAAGTGGGTGAAGGGAGACGTCGGACAGTGTAAGATATGACAAAATAATAATTTATAAATTATCAGGGATTCATGATGGAGGGGGTAACGGGGAAGGAGGGGGAAAAATGAGGAGCTGATATCAAGGGCTCAAGTAGAAAGCAAGTGTTTTGAGAATGATTGGCAACAAATGTATAAATGTGCTTGATACAATGGATGTATGTATGGTGATGAGTTCTATGAGCCCCCAATAAGATGACTAAAAAAAGATATAATTATGGAGAAAAAAAGTACAGTTATCAACTTAAAAAATGCCTACAGTATCAGATTTTTCTTGGAATGGAGATTAACGCAACTGCAAAAGGTACTATGTATTTCAATAAATGGTGAAAGAGCATGAAAGCCCAATAGGCAGACTACGCCATTTACAAAGTATTTCCCAAACCCTGACTACCACATAGCTGCATGTGTCTACATACTCCTCTATTTTAGATGAACCGTCTATTACTATCTCACTATATGTGTGCACTAGAAGACATTTCCTAAGAACCAGCACTTAAACATTCTATTATCTGGCTGGCAGATTTCTTCCTTTGTGTAATTGAGGAATTTCTTTTCCTCGCTTTATTTTATTCCCTAGTGTTTCAGACCTCTCCTGAGCTGCCAGTCTCTCAGGCTTTCTTTCTTTGAGAAGGTGCAGTCTTACCACTTTTTCACTGCCCTCTACTAATGGAAAACATTGGAGCTGTCCTTTGACAGGTTCCTGTTTTCGCAGTTGTAACACATATGGATTCTATGCATATGTACTCCCTACTCGCACAGTAGAATGCACCCTGTCATTGCTTATTCATTACAACGGCCAGTCTGGTGTCTAGGACATAGTAGAAGCTCCAAAATTTTATTGAATGAGAAACTGAACATATCACCTAATTTTCCTATGGGTTATAACAATTTATGTTTTCGAAGTTACCAATGTTATGGTGACAGGTGTTCACTCAACTATGTATTGAAAACTAAAAGGACATCATCACCAACAAAAGGAGACAAAAAAATCTTAGCTAAATATTCATATGATAAACAGTTATACTAATGAATAGGTTCACTTTTATTTGTTTAAAAAAGCTGGTGACGTGCTTCAAGTCTCACAAAAGTTCAAACTCAAAACGCATTGCCATCAAATCGTTTGTGACTCATGGGAGTGCTGGTGGTATAGTGGTTACACATTGGGCTACTAATTGCAAGGTCAGCAGTTGGCAGGAGGAAAGAGTTCTTCTACTCCTATAAAGAGTTATAGTCTTGGAAACTCAAGGGGGCAGGTCGATCTTGTTCTATTGAGTTGCTATGAGCTGGCGCTGACTAGATGGCAGTGAGTTTTTTGAGATGACAGGGTAGAACTGCTCCTGTGGATTTCCCAGCCTGTAATTTTTTACAGGAGCAGAAAGTTTCATTTCTTCTGTGGAACAGCTGGTGGTTTTGAACTACTGACCCTGGGGTTAGCAGCCCATGTTATCCAAAGAAATAAAACTGGTTACTCTTTAAAATGTCGAATACCTTTTTAAAGAAAAACAAACTACCCTGGGCAAGAGCATAATAAATTCCCTTCCAATAAGTGAGTGTTTTATCATAAAATTGCTTAAACTTAATTTTTCTCAAATTACTAAAACATTTCACCTATTGTTCAAATCATTAAAAAAAACAAGTGATGGGGGAGCGAGGAGGAAAAATGAGGAGCTGGTATCAAATAGAAAACATTTTGAGAATGATGATGGCAGCAAATGTACAAATGTGCTCGACACAATGTATGTATGTATGGATTGTGGTAAGAATTGCAAGAGACGCCAATAAAATGATTTTTTTAAAATCAAGTGATTATAGATGGTTTTTATAGAATATGAAATATATTAAGATAGTTAAGAAAGTGATTTATAAAAAAATAATATACTTAAAAGCGATTATTTCTTAAATTATTAACTAGGCAGACACCATCATTTTTCTCTATTTCTTTCAAGGAATTAGGGAGGAGTATTCTATTTTCCCCCTTCAATGCAAAAGGCAAAACACAGAAAAGCTTGGCGGGGGAAGATTAAAGTAACAAATTCCCAGGAACAAAGTAAGACTTGAAAATATTTGGGATGTAAAAACACATCTCTTCAAAATAGGTACTTAAACAATGACCTTCATTGTCATTTTTTCCAGCTGAGAGGGAAAGAGGGAGTTGAGCAGACAAGGAGCAATGTTTGCAGTGGAAGCCTCTAATAATTACTATAATGTCTTATGAAAGCACTTTAAAAGTGGCCACAACTGGTTTTAACTGATGCTTGAAATCACATGAAAATATTCTAAGCTATGCTTATTGTAGGTTATTAGTCTTATAAAACACAAGTTGGGAGTGGTGTACACCTCTGATTTCAGAGTCTTAAATTCAAGGCTTTTAACAGGGGCACTTAAAATATGGTCTCCTTTTTTTACCCCCTGCTATCAAACAATTACATGACATAGTCTGTCTACAGAAAGAAGTCACAGCGAGGGAACGAAGTTTTCAGTTAACAAAAGGAAACCTTTGGTTCAAATGAACGAAGAACCTCTTGATTAATCTCAAGATTGATTACTGTCCGGAAAAGAATGAAAACTCTCAGTATAGGGGACAAATGACTGCAAGGCAAATGGCATCAGTCTCCCTGCAGAGCAGTTACTAGTTCTGTGTAGGAAAGGGTTAAAAAAAAAAAAAAAAGCACAAGCTGTGCTGACAGTTACTCCTCATCCACTGATTTTCCCATCAAAAAGCGAAAACAGGCTTCTACAGTTTAGGAACAAGAGGATCTGTGCACTACAAGTACTAAAGACACGAACCTAGCTGTCAAGGTCTGAAGATTTACAAAGGGAAAAGTGCCAAGAACCATAAACACGTCGCGGGGGGGGGAAGAGGCCATAGGCATTCAAGTGGAAGACCCCGGCGGGAAAGAAAGCTCAAGGACTGCCACTGCAGTACAGCAGACGCGGCTCTGAAGAACACGACCCGTCGCCTCCATACGAAGCCGGAGCGGAAAAGGAGTATTCGACTTGCACTCATGGCGGCGGGATGCCCTGAGTCACTCCGCGACCGCCCGAGGGAGCGCGAAGACCACGCACGGCTCTCCCCGGGACAACGCGCACGTTTCCGGTGCTGGGGGGCCGCGTCCAAGGGGAGCCGGCCGGCTGTCAGGTCGGATGCCGCGTTCCGCTCGAGGCTCTGGCTCTCGGTGGGACGCGCGGGAGGAGATGAGAGGTCGCGAGTGGACGTGCTGGGGAACTCCTCGCCGACGTGACAGCTAGATCCCTGCCCATCGCCCCTGACCGGGGGGCGGACTCCCCGAGCCATTCGCTGGAAGGGGGAGCGCGAGGCACCCCCCACATTCAACCGCCCCTGTCCTAGGGCAGTTCCAGCTGTTCCGACGGAGCCCGCTGCCACGCGCCACGGCCGGCTCCACTGCCTCTGTCACCAGAGGCCTACAAAGTGGCGGAGCGGGGCAGACGTTCACGGCCAGAGACGGCGGTTCACATTCTAACCACTTCGGTTTGTTCACGTACCTGGAGGAAACGATTTCCTTCCGGAGGAGCGCGTAGAGTCCAATTCGGTTCTTGTCTTCACTTCTGAGCCACACAGCGTGTTCTTACGGCCACCGGCCAAAATGGCGGTGCCCAGCTGCCGCCTCGCGCGCGGCATGGAGCGTAACGCGCGTGCGCCGGAGAGCGGGAGGCGGAGCTGCTGGCGGGCGGGTCACGGCCCCTGACGTCATTCTCCTGCGACCACAACGTCTTCGATGAAGGCTGGCGGTGCTGGAAAGGGCAGTGGGAGTGGCGCGGAGCTGCAGGGCATCCCAAAAAACCTGACTCGCTGCAAACCAGGTCAGGAAGCTGTAAGTGCCTGGGCTTTTCCCCGAGTGGAGACTAGCCCTCCCGTCATCAAATGCCTGCTCCTCCCCAGTCTGAATCTCCTTTTACGCGCCGGGTCTATTCAAGGTCGGCGGGCCAGGAATTGGCTAACCACTTGGCTAACCACTGCCAAGTGTAGCACGCCAGAGATGTCCAGTTAGGACCGAGAGAGTTTAGCTCAGACACGGCGCGGCGGCTTTCGTTCCATGTTCTCAACTTCCTCTGAACTGGGTCATTGATTCTTCACCGAGTTCTGTGTTTTACCCACTTGGTGGCGTCCAGTCCCAAGGAGGGCAGTTGAATTGTACCCCAATGTAGAGATGGTTTAAAAAAAAAAAAAAAGATGACAGGACGTTGCAGCTTATTATGGTGGCTTTAGGTTTAATTGTTTCACCCTCGACCTTGACTTGCAGGTGGAGCTGAATTTATTCGTTCATCATTCATCCAGTAAATACATTACTGGTGTTCTCTGCCCTTTCAAAATTTTCTGATACAGTGGCTGTGCCATTCAATATGTATCAAGTGCTTGTGTGAAGATTAAGGAGTTTGTTGGGTCTACTGAGAGCTGTTAAGGAAATGATCTATAGAAGTATTGGGGTAACTTGCTAATAGCATAAAGTGTTGGTTCCCGTACATGCATTACCTAAAAGGAGCCCTAAGGCAAAGTGGGTTTACCGGTTGGGTTAGGCAAGGTCAGGAGGTCGAAACCAGCTCTTGGGAGAAAGATGAGGCTGTCGACTCCCCTTAAAGATTGAAAGTATTGGAAACCCAAAAGAGGTAGTTCTGCTCTGTCCTATAGGGTCGCAATGCGTCAGAATTGACTCGATGGCTGTGCATTTTGTTTTGTTTTTGGAAGGATGTTGGTCGTTGGAACTTTGCACTATCCAACCAGCAGTTTGACATAGTGTTCATTATTTAGGATCCCCTCTGCCCCCCCCCTCACTTTTACATAGAATAACAAAAGATGTGAAAGGTAGCCAGTTGTTCATTTCTTTAAGTCACTTTTCTGACTTTATCATGTGTGTTACCAGCACATTTAAATGAGGACTTTTGACAATTAGTGGGGAGATGTTACTTTTCTCAGCAATGCTTAATAAAATTTAAACTAGAGACCACTTTTATATATACCTGGAGTAAGAATTTAAGTTTGACTTTTCTATGGCAAAAACTCAATTTGAATTAAGAAATTTATTCATAGAATGTGTAGCCTAATAGGGTCACAGATCATCAAGGCAATCCTTTTGGTGGGAAAGGAAATAAAGGCCCAAAACTCAAACCAAAGTCACTGACAACCAATTCATTCTGATTCATAGTAGAACTGACTCTGAGAGTACCCGAGACTCAGTATTTATACGTGGTGATTTCAAACTGCCAATCTTGTTGTTAGCAGCCCAATGGGTAGCCTACTGTGTCACCAAGGTTCCTAATTAAGGGCCAGACCTGCTCAAAGTCTAGACAATTGAAAGGCGAGACTGATGCTAATTTTTGTGTTCTTTCCACTAGTGTGCCCTACTGCTTTACACACAGTGTATTTCATAGCGTGCAGTGGTTCAAAAACAAAACTGAATTCCAAGATTTGATTCCTATGAACTACATTTAAGAAATAGATAATTAATATCAGGATATTAATGGATGGTAATGATCTAGATTTGATTCCTATGAACTACATTTAAGAAATAGATAATTAATATCAGGATATTAATGGATGGGAATGATCTATTTGACTACTAAATTTCTATTTTTAACTTTTGTGTAAAGAAAAGATGCTCAAGTCCTGGTATGGTGTGCATTTTATGTTTGTCTGGTTTTTCCTACATAGACTATTTAGAAAATGACCACACCAAACAAGACACCTCCTGGTGCTGATCCTAAGCAGTTGGAAAGGACTGGGACAGTCCGGGAAATTGGGTCACAAGCTGTTTGGTCACTTTCATCCTGCAAACCAGGTAAAAAACAAACAAATAATACAAAGCCCCATGAAACCGCTCCTTAAAGTTTCCTTGTACACTAGACTTGACTTAAATTATTTTTTTAAATTGTTGTTGTTATTGTACCTTAATTGAATTCTGATGCATTAGATTTTGATTGATGGTACATCTCTTTCCAGTTGTTTTACTAATATTCATTCAGATTTGACTTTATATCTCAAAAAGACTTCCTTTCCTATTTCTGCTGGGATTCACTTAGGGTCTTCTTATTGACTGTTTTCTCTAGGTGGGTTAAGTGAGTTGATAGAACTTTAGAGTGATTACATATCCCCATACAAGTCTTTTACTCTTGATTGATATAGAATTCATTCCTGGCAGTTATTATTTCTCAAAAAAGTTAAAAACAAAACAACTCTTTTGCCATGCTGCAGGTAAGAAGGCAGATGCTTGTGTCCCCCCCACCCCCCCAAGGAATTTGTTATTTCTTTTTGCAGCCACTTAAGAGTTTCTTCTTATTCTTCAAGTTCAAGATAATAAGTAGGGTGTGCCAGTGTTGTGAGCCCATTATGTTCTCTAAAAATATCTGATGATCTCCTAAACCCTTAGTACCTGTAAATGACCACATTTTGAAATAAGGATTTTGCAGGTCCAATCAAGTAAAGGTGGGGTTATATTTATTGGTTTAGGCTGGGTCCTAACCCAATGACTGATGTCCTTTCAAGGAGAGTTAACTTTGGAGACACAGCTACAGGGGAGACGGGAAAAATGCCCATGGAATGACAGAGGCGAGACTGAAATTGGTGCCAAATGCTTGAGCCTTCAAAGTGAGTGTGACCCTGCCAACATTGTGATCTCAGACTCTATCCTTCAGAAAAGTGAGAAAATAAATTTCTTTTAAGCCAAACCAATTGTGGTCAAGTTGATTGTGGCTCTTGATGACCTCATGTGTGTGAGAGCAGAACTGTGCTCAATAGGGTTTTCCGTGCTGTCAGCTTCAGGAAGGACATGACCAGATCTTCTCAAGTGCTGCTGGATGGATTCAAGCTGCCATTCTTTGGGGTTAGTAGTTGGGTGCTTACCTGTTTGCCACACTCAGAGAACAGCTTTTAGCTACACAGTTTTAAAATTTCTCATTGAAAGATCATTTTATTGGGGGCTCTTACAGCTCTCAATCCAGACACCAATTGTATCAAGCATTATTTGTACATATGTTGCCATCATTATTTTCTGAACATTTACTTTGTATTTGAACCCGTGGTATCAGCTCCTCTTTTTTACCTTCCCTCCCACCTCCCACCCTGTGACACCTTGATAAATTATAAAGTATTATTATTTTCATATCTTACACTTACCGCTGTTTCCTTTCCCCCATGGTTTCTGTTGTTCCCCCTGGGTGTGTGTGTGGCTATGTGTCAATCATTTTGATGTTCCCCCTTCTCTGTCGGAGCCTGCTGACGAGTCCAACGGTCCTGAAAGGGGGAGTGAGGATTAAGGACAAAAAGAGAGACAGAAAGTATTGGGAGGGCAACAGTGAATACTGAAGCCCCAAGTTTATTCTACACCTTCCTTTTATACATGCAGAAACAACCCGGGCTTATATTTTTCTCATTGTTAAGCAAGCGCATTGGATACACATCAACAACTCTATGTTTTTCCAAACCAAGCATCCTTGAGAAAATTAACCATCCTGATTTCCCAGAACTCACATACGTCCTTGTACTTTTTCTTAGTCTCAATGTCAAGCCGCAGAAGCAAACAGCAGATACTGACACCTGGGTCATGAGACTTCTCAGCCGTTTCAAGGCTGAGTCTTAATGGCCTTCAACAGACTAAGACATGGACGGTTTGCCTAATTA